GCCACCTCTACCCCCAAAAGTCAGACACCTTTTAAAACTAAGTTACACATTTGCTTAACCTAATACACTGGATTAAGTTGCTCTTTTAATCATATTTTTTAGCTCACCATCACATCAGAGAAATGAACAGAAATGTGCATCACCTGTGCCTTTTGCTAATTAAAACTCAACTCAAACGTCCTTTATTTGAGGCATTATTCATTATCATATGAGTTGTTTTAAGATGGGGTAAACATCCTGTATCTAGTTCATAACCTCTTTTATGAACACCTATGAGACTACACATTTACTGTGTGTGGGTCACTGTAAATGTTTACTTGAAATATGGTAATGAATGAATCTTATGGAAAACCCTAGTGCATCATTTTATCCATTGAGTTAAATCTAGAGGCAGTTATAATTAGAACTTTCTCAGGATTAAAGTGTTTTTCGTTCAGTTTCAGACTCTGGGGAGCTTCTGACTGAATCTATTTTCTGGTTGTGATGTTAGGTTTCTGAAAGGCATAAAAACAACAACAAAAACCTTTCCAAAGAAGGAAAAATATTGTTAAAAGTTTTTATTGGGGGTAATGTAAGAATACTCAGTATCACTTGTGAAATTTGGTGATAAAACAAAATACAAAAATCTAATATTTTTGTACAAATTGCATCTTTTATTTTTAAAGAACTATTTTACTTAATTTTATTCATTATAATTTTTCAATGTGACCAGAGAGAAAGAGGTAAGAAAGCAAGTTGCCAGGTCCAGGACTCAAACTGCAGTCAACCACGTGGGAGTTCAGTGCCCCAACCACCATATCACCTGCCAGCCTCAACTTGCATCTTAATAAAATATTTAGGGATTTTTCCTCCCATATTAAAGAAATGCTTAAATAGCAAACTGTTCTTTTAAGACATTTTAAAGGATTTCTCTTAACCAATTCAGTAGCCTTGCTCTGAATTTTCTATAGTGTAACACTGAATGTCACTCCCTTCTTAGACGTCCTTGTGTTCTCCCAATGCTTTTTCCCTCCTATACGCTACATGGATATTAACCAAACTTTAGCCCTTGCCCTGACCTATCCATTTCCATCTCCACTGGAGCTCTTTGCTTTGACTACTACTTCAGTTCAGATTACGTCTTCAGTTCTGCTGTGGCACTGCTCTCATCTAAGGTCCGAGTCCATAGAGCTAAGTGCCTTATGGGCAGCTTTTACCTCACATGCAACATGACCAAATAACTTTTCACCTTTCACCTTAACCCAGGGAGTATAGCATGAGGGAAGGCTGCTGGCTTAGGAGACAGGCTGCCTGGGTCTAAACCTGACTCCATGCTGGCAATTTACTTAACCTCTCAAAGCCTCCATTTCCTCAAGGATAGACCAGGAGAATTAGAGACTCACTTCAACCGTTCTCTCACGCCTCAAGGAGCAATGCACTCAAAGCATTAAACTCAGTGCTGGCCCACAGAATACACTACTGTGGATGACGATGACATCAACAGCTACAGTAAACAGCTCTCTCTTTCAGCAATCCCAATCTCCAAAACACAGAATTCTCAGGAACATCTTGACTTGTTTTTCTCTTTTGTTTCACACTCAAAAATACTATAAATTCTCTTTTGATATCTGCTGCCACCCACATAGGTGTAACAGCATTAACACCTCACAACTTGATTATTTCAGCTGCATCCATTTCCTTTACTCTATACTGAGTAAAATTCTGCTCCACCTTGGTGTCAGAGAAAATATACTGGAAAATATCTAGATTGGAAGTCAGAGCTACCATTTATTAGTTCAAGGACCTCAGGCAAGTCTCTGCCTTCAGTCTGCTCTCCTAGAAAAGGTTAGCTGACTGATCGAGAATCTGTTCTTACAATATGTTTTTATTGAATACCTATTATGTATTATGTTACTATGATGAATGACACTATCCCTATCCTCAAAGGGGCCTCATGGGTAGAAATGAAGATAACTAAATAAATATAATTAGATAAACTGTACTAAACCCCATACTAGCAATATATAGATAAGTGTAGGAAAACTCTGCCTGGGGGTGTCAGATAAAGCTTCAAAGAGGAGGTGACTCTTCAGATGTATCTCAAAGAACACAAAAATTTCAGCAAATCCACAGAAGGTAAAAATCAAAAGCAGGGCACCGTGAATCACAAATATGTCTCAATGTATACACGCACAAAAAGGTCATTTCTAGTAAGTGGCATAGAGGGAATAAACAGAATAGAGACAGAAAGGGCAGATGAGAGTCAGACTATGAAAAACTATTGCACAGTATGTTGTGTAGTATAGATTTTGGTAAGCAGTAACCAAAGATTTTAAGCAGGAAAGGCCACAACCAAATTGGTGCATTAAAAAAAAAAATGACAACATTAAAGGTATGAATGATGGACTGGAGCAGTGTGGAATGACAGCCAATAAACAGCGCAGGTGAGAGACGGGGAGGACAGAAATGAAAGAAGTAGGATGGCCTAGGGTGAACCAATTTGAGAGACATTAGGGTCGGGAGAGAGAGGATTTTGCAATTGAACAGACAGAAGAAGAAAGTTTAGGGACAAAAAAGGATCCTAAGAGTTCTGATTCAGAAGATGAAAATAAAAAATAAAGGAGAAACCTGTATGCAGGGTAAAGGTGGTAGGTTCAATACTAAGGATGTTGAAATACGGTGTCTGGGGAACGCTCATATGAAGATGCCCAGATACAATTCGAGAAGATGCTCTTCCCAATTTCTGAAGTTCCAGGAAAAGGTCTAGGTCGAGATGCTGGGAAGAGATGGGTGGAGGCAGAACAGGAAAAATTATACACAAACACTTTTCTGTTCTAAGAGGGCCACTGGGACAGCCAAAAGGAAGTGCGGAATCTAAACGCACTGGCTAAGCCATGAAGGGCTACACAAAGGGTACACCGTGGGACCAGCAAAACAGTCTGGGGCCAAAAGAGTTAACAATCAGTCACGGGTGAAAAGACAGACCAGCCCAGCAGTTCACAGGCTCAGAGAACAGCAGATGAAGGCAGCAGCAGAAGGAACAGGGAACAATGTTTCCTGTAAGGTCTTGCAGCAGTCGTCAAGGCCACAGGGCCCCCAAGTGTCTCCTGCTTTCCTGCCACAACTGCCCTTGATCTGCTGCTATGTCTTATCACTAAATACCAATGGCTGGGGACACCGGATTGCTAAAATGTCCTTGCCTCATAACGGCACCCAATCCCAGACCAATCCCATGCTTCTCCTAATCCAGCCTCAGACAAGGCAAGCCACCCAGTAGCCTCCTCAGAATCATTCAGCAGCAGCCCAGAATTCACAAAGGATGCTTCCTACCTCTCCCTTGATTTCTGAGCCTCCCACCCCCAGCACACCATCAACCAACCTCATCTAGCGAGCCTACAGTTAGTCTTTGGTGTCTTTGACTAACTAGGCTTCCATAATACATACCATCACGCAAAAGAGAGTGCAATGGTTCACTAATTGACCCTCACTACTACAACTAACAGATGAAAACCAATATGAAGGTGTCAAACGAGTTGGAACTTCCAAGTCAGCATACTTGAAAATGCCCAAGTGGGAAGCCCATGCATTGTTAAGCCCTGTTCAGGTTCATAAAAGGCACACAAAAACACATTTTGAATCTCAGTTGTCCTATTTGTTAAATAAGGTTCAGGCTCTGTTTTTTAAGTTGTTTATTCATTTCATTCTTTTCACAAATATTTACTGAATACTACACGTGCCAGCACTGCACTGGGTCCTGGAAATAGAAGATAAGCTTGCTAAGTAGACAAATGGGAGAGAAGCAGTTTAAAGAGAAAAAAAGAATCTAAATACAAACTGAGGCAATTAAGAACACAAGAAGTAATTCAGGAAAACAGAAGCGCAGGGTGGATGGCGGGTACTGGTGAGATGAGAGAAGGGGGCAGGGATAGGTGGGAGTTGGGGGAAAGAAATGTAAGGGCTAAGAAGGGGACACGGCATCCCGTGAAAGTAGAAGGAGGAAATAGGAAAGAGGTTGCCGGAATTGCCAATGAAAGAAAAAGGCCAGAACAAAGGCATTTTAAGATGTGAAAAAGTGTCTTAAAATACATGCCATGTGCTACAGACACAGATCAAGATGCACACTTGCTTGTATGTGCAGGACAGAATGGGGAACATGGGACATCTGTAGATAATGTTCCCATCAGAAGGAAATTCACACACACACAAAAATCATCACATAGCTCTTGAAAAACAAGTAAAAAAAAATAAAATTCACAGATACGAACATAGTCCAGGTCACATTTTTCAAAACTATTGATTCTCTTTTTTTAAAAACTACCCAAAGTAATATGGTAATAACATCTGACAGCCACTTAAGCTGAAGGTTTCACAAAGGCTTAAAACACTGACTTCCTGTGTTCTTTATGGCTCTGTGAGGGCTATTTCATTCAATTATGATGACATTTCAATTTGGAATACAGAGTTGCCTCTCCCTTTAAATGTTAAATTGACTTGTTTGGGTACAAAAAGCATCCAGCATGTTCTATTACGTGCAAGATTAAAAAGGTATCTCTGGCAATAGTAATAGCTTAATACTTTAGTAATAATAGAAACTATTTTAGAATCTATCATTTTTTTCCTTAAACTATAATTTGCCTTTTTTAAAAAAAGTACTTCCACACTCTTTATTCATAGCCCTACCAGAAAATCCCTATGAACTGACTTTCTAAAATAACTGCACATTTATCTGGTCTACATAATTTACATAAAAACAAATCATAAGCAAAAAATTAAAGAAACAGTAGCTTCCACTAAGCCTGCATGGGGTAGGTATCAATGAGTCTAAAACATAAAAATAGTAATTAACTTCAGGATACTTTGAGATGAAGCAAAGTCCTATTGTGTTTCCATTCTTATTTAGCTGACAAGTGACCATAAGGAAACAGAGTTCAGATGAAAGATAACCTTACAGATGCCCACAGAACCCTCCCATTTTTAAGAATTGAATATGCTATTTTAATGTACTTGATATATATCATCTCTAGTAGATTTGGGTATTTCCTCTCTCCTACAGTCTCACCAAAATACAAAGACCAATTGAAATCAAATCTTCCATAATGATACATAACTGAGAAAAATCAAATGAGTCAGATAAATACCGGATCATTAAAGAGTAAGCGTCCAAATAGCTGCTTGGCTTCCTCCAGGCTTCCCTCCAAGTAAACAGCTCCTAGATAAAAGGAAGTGAATGCCAAAAGGAAGGCTGCATTAATATGCAGAGAAAATTACATATCTCTATAAAAAGCAAGAAAGCAAGCCAAAAACCATTCACAGAAAAAAATGACAAGTTCAGAAGAAATTACAGTATTTTAAAGGTAACACTGTCCTTCTTTTAGCTATATTTTGTACTATAAATTAGACTGAAGTACAAAATTCAATTTACGGGCCATCCAGTGGTATTACTGGTTAAGACAGCTAGATCTTACATGACTGACTGCAAGGTTCGAGCCCCAGACCTGGCAGCTTGAAAAACATGCCAGGGGCATGGGCATGCCCAAAATCACAAAAGGAAGATGAAGGAGAACACACGACCATCCTCCCTGGAGGGTGTTTTATCATCCTGGCGAGTCCCAAGAGAAGAATGGAGAATGGCAGTGAGACTCCCTAGGTCAGGGCTTTTTTCACCCCCAGCCCTTCCCTCCGTTTCTCTCTGACAAAAACACATTCCCTATTTTAAATTAAGAAAACTTTTTTTCAAAATTCTATTTACTAAAAATCTAAATCTAATCCTGTAAGTAAAAGAGACCAAATAGAAACTATTATGAAGAGTGTAGGTACAAACCTTACTAAGGAAACAATACACACCTATTTGACTTCACTAAAGAATGTGCATGCATGCACACGTGCCTGGCATGAGTTTACGTTCTGTATTTATAGCTTATGTTTCAGATCAAATATATGAAAGTATCTAAGGGGAAAAAACCATATAGAAAAATCCTGAGTTTAGACAAATGAAATTTTTTTGCAAACAAAAATCAGAGTAGCCAGTGCCTCTAATTTAGAATGATTAATCACCATGCACACATTTAGCATGAACTATAACCAGTAAGTACTATGGTAACTGCTTAAATTGGATATTAAATAAGTCCAGAGTACAACAGTCATATTTTCTTGAAATGTTTATACCTGTCTTCAGATAGGCTAGTTTTCCATATAAAATGTTAAGGCACTTAGTCACCAAGGCTTTGATAACTAAATACATTTATTATTTATTGACTGTTGTTGTAGTAATAGTAATAGTAGTGGTAATAATTAGGGTTTGGGGGCCTCCTATGCCCTGGGAACCATACAAAGCATTTTCACATTTTTTCTTTAACTCCCGGAGGGTACATGTACTCACCAGAGAGAGGAACAAGAAAGAAGGAGAGAAAGAGAGAGAGGGAGAGAAAGTACTCTTCAATGGGGTGTGATCATGCCATAGTCCTTTTTCCTCCATTCCATCATGATTTTGGGCATGCACTCACACAAGCCTAGAGTGTTTTTCAAGATGCTGAGGTCTGGGACTTGAACCACCACATTTGGCCTTGTGGAATCCAGCTCCCAATGCACCGTGCATTAACCACTGGGGTATGGAGCCAGGCCAGCATTTCCACATTCTTAACTTCACCCACCATGGGAAGCCCTAGTACAAAGGCATCAGAAAGACTTACAGGACTTAGACTCATTTTAGGTGATTTGGGAGAGGACTAAGGAGGTGGAACTTAGTTCTTTAGATTAGATGCTGCCAGGATTGGATACCTAACAAGCCTGCTAGGTAAGTGATTCTATTGATATTTGCAACTTGCAGATTGGGAAGCTGAGAATCAAAGAAATTGGGACCAGCAGTTAACGTAATGACTATGTCGCTGAACTCCTATGTAGCCGACCGCAGTCCCAGAACCAGTGGCTTAAACTCATGCCGGGCATGTGTGCATGCATGCCCAAGATCCCGTGAGGAGAATGGAGGAGAAGGGATTGCGGCATGGCTATCCCCCCTGGTCGGTGATTTCTCGCTTTCTATCTTTCTGTCTGTCTCTGTCTTTCCGGCAAGCACACACGCCCTATAGTAAAAACCTCTCAAGAGAAAAAAAAAGAGAATCAAAGAAATTAGATAACATGCCAAAGACAGAGATCTGATAAACAACAAACAGGGAACTAAATGTCTGCCTCGTTCTGGAGCCAAAGATAACACTAACTGTCAAAAATACTGTGTGTCCAGACCACAGTAATTCCATGTGGCAAGTTCTCGGAATATAGATATATTTGTTTGTTTGTTTGAAATAGATATCAGCTGTGCAAAGATGGTAGCTAATTATTAACATTCTCCTGCTACTATCATCAGTAGGAAACTATAATGGAAAGCTTTTATGTTCATTTTCAAAGGAATAGGGCAAAAATGATAAGAAAGCACAAAGGCCTTTGAAAAGTAAAAGGTACTTAATCGTTTACCTAAAAAAAAAAATCAAGAGATTGTCAATCAATTGTAACATTTCACTGTAAAGCATACTTGCAATCACCAGCTAATTAACTCTTCACAACTTTCCTATACCAACAGCTCATTGTATTCTGGTTACAGTCAAAAAGAACCCAAGCAAGTGCTTAAGTGCAAAGTGAAGTGTCTCTATCCACCTTGTTTCAAGTGAATACATAATAGTTTGTATATAGACTCAAGCTCTGGAATTCTAAAAAATGCAGTGTTCTCAAGATGCTTACAGCAGAAAATTTTGTGACTATTTCCAAATGTGGTCAAAAACAATACTGAGGCCTCTCCAGAAACCAAGTTTGTGTTTGTTTACGCATGTGCTCCTAAATCAAAATCTGCAAAGTAATCCGTTTCCATATTAATTCACTTCAATGCAGCAAATACTTATTAATCATCTACATGACATCAGACACCAACTCAAGCATAACTCAAGCATAAATGCAAAAACCCGAAAGCATGACTGCTCTACAGTAACTAAAATAACTATAATAGGTGGTGGGTGTTGTACCAGGAACCTCACATGCTTCGGGAACAAGTAATTCTGGCCCAGGTTTTCACACTGAATTTTATGTGCTCTTCAGACATACAAAAGTAAGCTACAAAAAGAAATTAAGGGCTGAAAATTAAGGGTGGCACAGTAGTAAGACACGATTTTCTGTGAGGCTGACCACATAGGAAGGTTACTGGCTTACATCCAGAAACCTCCTTAAGTAGACTAGGCACACAGCTGCCCAGGATCCAGGGCTGGCTGGGGCTAGGGGATGGATGGAGGCATTGAGGTCCTATTTCCTTCTCTCTTGCTCATGGAAAAACTGAATAAATAAAAAGTGTTTTTAAAACTAGAATAAAAATGAAAGAGAGAAATTACCTATTAATGCTTCAAAACAATTAGCCATTGCATGTCGAAGGTCCGATTCTCTACAAAGGTCAGGCCCATGAGCGTATAGCATAAATCGATCCAGTTCAAGTTTCTACAAAATTCAAAATGACAAAGAATAAGAAAGAGTTTGCTAAAATCCTACCTATAATTAACTCACCATTTCCTGGGGGAGAGACAGAGATAGTTACTAATCTGTAGACGTATATTAGTATACTAATAGACCTTAGTCTATCAATCATTAAGAGTCCTATACATAGTTTAATTCTAACTCATTTGTTTTTCAGAGGTCTAAAAAGTCCAATAGTCCAAGTAGGGTTCAGAATTAACCAGATCTGAGCTCTGCAGTTCCAGGTTCAGAACTGGTGCTAGCCCAGGCTAGAATAAGGCTGCTGTAACACTGTGGACCCCTGGGTTCATGCAAAATGTCAAGGAAGAAAGACACAAACCTAGCCTAAAATTCTGAAAGTCAGATTTCTCTCTGATTCCACGGTGACAGTACTGATGATATCTGAACCAGGCAAAACAGAATTCCATGTGATAGAGTAAATGGGAACCCTCAGAAGACTTCAAACTGACATATACCTCTAAATCTATTTTTGTTTTTAATTTGGTAAAAATTTGGGAGGTCCTATATTCTTTTTTTTTTTGGAGAGGTTTTTGCTATAGGGCGCATGCGCTCACCAGACAGACAGAGAGAGACAGAGAGATAGAAAGCAAGAAATCACCCCCCAGGGGGGATGGCCACGCCGTAATCCCTTCTCCTCCATTCTCCTCCCGGGATCTCAGGCATGCACGCACACGTGCCCAGCGTGAGTTTAAGCCACTGGGTCTGGGACTCGAACCACGGTCAACTACATGGGAGTCCAGCGACATAGCCATTACTCTAACTGCTGGTCCTGGAGATCCTATATTCTTGTACTTACATGCCCTTTAGGAGCCTTCCACACTCATATCTCTGTAGACTAAGACCTACTGAACAATGAACTGGATTTACCTTAAGGGTTCTAGGTATATTTTGTAGTGAATTACATTACTTTTTTGATTTGGCCTCAAAACTGTTTAGAGCCAAATTTGTGGCCCATAAGACTTATGAATAAATACATCAGTGCATGGCTTCATTTACTAATTTACCCGTATTTCCTCAATACAGTGATTTCTATACCTATTTATTTCTTATCCTATTGTATTATAATATACAAACAATTTCAGTCCTTTTAGAACTAAAGATAATATGAACATAATATGTCGTAAATCAAAGAACAACCTAGGACGATGTGAGTCTCATTAATTCTCAGATAAAAGATACTAGGATTCTACGTGTTTTCATGTGTATGTTAAACATTCACATTTATTTATATTGGAAAAAAGCAAAGGTGATAAAAGTAATACATGTTTGTGATGAGTACTGTGTATTATTAGAAATCCATGAGTATAAAATACACTAAAAAAATGAGAGCTTCAACTACTACAAATTCAGCAGTAGAGAACCTTTTCTTAAAAATTGATCCCAAAGTGCAAGAGTTTATACTAGAATATGTAAATTTCATCTCCTTCATAGCTTCACTGGGAAAATCCAACTGTTTGCTATCTCTGGAGCCCTGCTTGAAAGTATGTAGGAAGCTATATATTTTTGTATAACCAACTAATCTAGAGTGCTGTGAATTTTCCAGCTTCTCCCGATCCCCTACACTTATATTTTCATATAGGCATTAATGGAACTTTTAAGAAGGTGAGAATGGTATTCTACTGCGTAAATGTTAAAATGTTTATTTGTTGGAAGTTTTAATAGCTTTCATTAGATTCTCAAAGGAGTCAGCAATTCTCCCTCAATTTCCCTCACTCTCAATGGTAACCACTGATCCACACAGAAGAAAGATAAGGATCACCAGAGGTGTAACCAGTGGGTTCCAGCGCCACAGGAATGTCAAGATTTGGGCCTCGTAGAGAAAGATCACACAGAAATCTCTGAAAAGAAAAGCTAGCCACCGCTGTTACTGCTGACTGCTTTTGATAACACCCAATGTGTTATGTAACGGCTTTGGTTTCCATGTTACAACCATGTCCCATACTTCGTGAATATCCTTTCTATAGGTGTCTGAAAAATAATTATGTAATTTCACTAATACTCTAAACTAAAAAGGAAACAATGGGGAAGAGAGTGACAATCTCCTTATTAGATGTACTTCTAATGACATTTATATGAACTATCAGGAAGCAGTTTGACGATTAAATCAAACACTAAAACAGTTTTACTCAGTTGAATTTGATTCATTGTAAGCTGCTAAAATCAAGTAAGCTTACCTTGCTGTATGTAGTTTTTCATTAAACACTGCCGTTTATATTCTCAAATGCACTAAAACTAGTTCAAAGTCTATCACTGTAACAATGATGATATTGGTATTACATAAAACAATTCATTCTTGCTACCACAAAAACTATCGGTTAAATTAACTGCATTTTAAATATAATTAATGCCTTGGCATTATCAAATTAAAAAACATGGACCAGCGGTTAGTGTAATGGCTATGTCGCTGAACTCCCATGTAGCTGACTGCAGTTTGAGTCCCAGACTCGGTGGCTTAAATTCACGCCGGGTGCGAGTGCATGCATGTCCAAAATCCCAAGAGGAGAATGGAAGAGAAGGGATCGCAGCATGGCCATCCCTGCTGGGGGGTGATTTCTCACTTTCTATCTCTCTGTCTCTTTCTGTCTTTCTGGTGAGTGCATGAGCCCTATAGCAAAAACCTCTCATAAAAAAACAAGACCAAAAACAAAAACATATTCTTTTTTTTTTTGGAGAGGTTTTTGCTATAGGGCGCATGCGCTCACCAGACAGACAGAGAGAGACAGAGAGATAGAAAGCAAGAAATCACCCCCCAGGGGGGATGGCCACGCCGTAATCCCTTCTCCTCCATTCTCCTCCCGGGATCTCAGGCATGCACGCACACGTGCCCAGCGTGAGTTTAAGCCACTGGGTCTGGGACTCGAACCACGGTCAACTACATGGGAGTCCAGCGACATAGCCATTACTCTAACTGCTGGTCCTGGAGATCCTATATTCTTGTACTTACATGCCCTTTAGGAGCCTTCCACACTCATATCTCTGTAGACTAAGACCTACTGAACAATGAACTGGATTTACCTTAAGGGTTCTAGGTATATTTTGTAGTGAATTACATTACTTTTTTGATTTGGCCTCAAAACTGTTTAGAGCCAAATTTGTGGCCCATAAGACTTATGAATAAATACATCAGTGCATGGCTTCATTTACTAATTTACCCGTATTTCCTCAATACAGTGATTTCTATACCTATTTATTTCTTATCCTATTGTATTATAATATACAAACAATTTCAGTCCTTTTAGAACTAAAGATAATATGAACATAATATGTCGTAAATCAAAGAACAACCTAGGACGATGTGAGTCTCATTAATTCTCAGATAAAAGATACTAGGATTCTACGTGTTTTCATGTGTATGTTAAACATTCACATTTATTTATATTGGAAAAAAGCAAAGGTGATAAAAGTAATACATGTTTGTGATGAGTATTGTGTATTATTAGAAATCCATGAGTATAAAATACACTAAAAAAATGAGAGCTTCAACTACTACAAATTCAGCAGTAGAGAACCTTTTCTTAAAAATTGATCCCAAAGTGCAAGAGTTTATACTAGAATATGTAAATTTCATCTCCTTCATAGCTTCACTGGGAAAATCCAACTGTTTGCTATCTCTGGAGCCCTGCTTGAAAGTATGTAGGAAGCTATATATTTTTGTATAACCAACTAATCTAGAGTGCTGTGAATTTTCCAGCTTCTCCCGATCCCCTACACTTATATTTTCATATAGGCATTAATGGAACTTTTAAGAAGGTGAGAATGGTATTCTACTGCGTAAATGTTAAAATGTTTATTTGTTGGAAGTTTTAATAGCTTTCATTAGATTCTCAAAGGAGTCAGCAATTCTCCCTCAATTTCCCTCACTCTCAATGGTAACCACTGATCCACACAGAAGAAAGATAAGGATCACCAGAGGTGTAACCAGTGGGTTCCAGCGCCACAGGAATGTCAAGATTTGGGCCTCGTAGAGAAAGATCACACAGAAATCTCTGAAAAGAAAAGCTAGCCACCGCTGTTACTGCTGACTGCTTTTGATAACACCCAATGTGTTATGTAACGGCTTTGGTTTCCATGTTACAACCATGTCCCATACTTCGTGAATATCCTTTCTATAGGTGTCTGAAAAATAATTATGTAATTTCACTAATACTCTAAACTAAAAAGGAAACAATGGGGAAGAGAGTGACAATCTCCTTATTAGATGTACTTCTAATGACATTTATATGAACTATCAGGAAGCAGTTTGACGATTAAATCAAACACTAAAACAGTTTTACTCAGTTGAATTTGATTCATTGTAAGCTGCTAAAATCAAGTAAGCTTACCTTGCTGTATGTAGTTTTTCATTAAACACTGCAGATTATATTCTCAAATGCACTAAAACTAGTTCAAAGTCTATCACTGTAACAATGATGATATTGGTATTACATAAAACAATTCATTCTTGCTACCACAAAAACTATCGGTTAAATTAACTGCATTTTAAATATAATTAATGCCTTGGCATTATCAAATTAAAAAACATGGACCAGCGGTTAGTGTAATGGCTATGTCGCTGAACTCCCATGTAGCTGACTGCAGTTTGAGTCCCAGACTCGGTGGCTTAAATTCACGCCGGGTGCGAGTGCATGCATGTCCAAAATCCCAAGAGGAGAATGGAAGAGAAGGGATCGCATCGCAGCATGGCCTGCTGGGGGGTGATTTCTCACTTTCTATCTCTCTGTCTCTTTCTGTCTTTCTGGTGAGTGCATGAGCCCTATAGCAAAAACCTCTCATAAAAAAACAAGACCAAAAACAAAAACAAAAACAAAAACAAACAGTCATTCCTCTCTCTCCATTTCTCTCTCATCAACAAAATAAACATTCTGGGAGGGAAGGTAATAAATTCAACCAAAGAGGTGAAAGATCTCTACAATAAAACCTATAAAACATCGGCTGAGATATCAAATTAGACACAGGAAAATGGG